GCCAATGCTTCTGTCGAGGCCTTGTGCCTCAGAGAAGAGCGCAAGCTGGGGGGGGGAGGGGTGGTGGGTGGTGGGTGGTGGTGGACGGGGAGGGGAGGGGGTTGAGGGGATCGTGATGAGGTCGCCGAGAGAGAGTGTGTGTGATTGTGATCAGGTCGCAGTATGTGAGTGATCGTGATCAGGTCGCTATGTGTGTGTGTGTGTGTGTGTGTGTGTGTGTGTGTGTGTGTGTGTGTGTGTGTGTGTGTGTGTGTGTGTGTGTGTGTGTGTGTTTGTGTGTGTGTGTGTGTGTGTGTGTGTGTGATCGTGATCAGGTCGCAGTGTGCGTGTGTGCGTGCATGTGTGTGTGCGTGTGTTTGCGGGCGGGTAGGGGGGTCTACAAAAGCTGGTTGGCCACAACCGCAACAAGAACAATGCCCACTACATACAACCACGTCAGATCCACGCCGTCCATGTCCTCCACCTCGCCGCCTTGCCCACCATCATCTGGATCCTCCTTCTCCTCGGCTCCGTGCCCGACTCCACCAGGCAGCGTCTTGACCGATCGTCCAAGCGGAATGAGGCCCACCGTGTGCCGCACACGCTGCCGCTTGTCGCTCGGTGACGACGGCGGCCCAACAGACGAGACAAGCGACGACGACGCCACCATCGCTACCTGCTCGTTTGAATCAGAGAACATGCCTTCAGACAGTGTGCTGACTGAGCTCTCATGTTCAAACACGCTCGACTTTTTCGCTTGCTTGGCGTCACGGACTTGGCCGGAAAACAGCGAGCTGGCGTCGCTCGCTCGGCTTGCTGCCTTCATCATCGACCCGCCTTTGTGGCCTTCCATCGAGAACAGTGTCGAGCCCGAGTCCATCGAGTCGCCCGAAATATTTCTGCCCTGCAATTGCTTCACCCGCCTCTCGCGCGTCCTCTTCGACGGACTCGGCGACGAGACCTGCTGGTGATGCGACAGCACGTTGCCGGTAAAGAGCGCCTTGTTAAAGATGGTCCCTGAAGTCAGCGACTGCGAGATCCACGTCGCCGACTCAGACCCGTCTGCGCTTTGCATGCTCGAGCCGCCGCGGGGCTCGCGTTGGCTCGCACTGCAGCCCGCGCTACTTTCGCCGTCGCCGGTCTCGCAACAGCTGCCTGACATGTCCTGACCCACCACGGCGCTTCCATTCTTCTTCGTCTGCTCCGCCTCGTCTCTCGCCATCACCTCTCCTGCCTTGTCTCTGCCCTGGAGCGGATTCGCAGTCGTGGTCTGGCCCTGGCATTCATCCCCGTCGGTTGGAACCACCGTTTCAAGCCCATGCAGTGACCGCGAGTTTGACTTCTCCTCCAGAGGAGGCATGGCCACCAGAGCCACAGACGAGGTCAGCTTCTTCGACGCCTCGGGATTCCCACCCATTCGTCGGCTGGCCGACGGCCGTCCGCCACTCAAAGACAACGGCGACGACGACGATGACGACGACGTCCCGGACGACAGCGACGAGAACATAGCCTTGCTCTTGTTCTGTCTCCTCTTCCGCTTCCGCTTCTTCTTCCGCTTCTTCTTCCGCTTCTTCTTCCGCTTCTTCTTCCGCTTCTTCTCACCAGCTTCGTCCTGCCCATCCTTGTCTGGCTGCGGCTTCTCGAGGCTTCTCGAGTTCGCACTGGCGCGCGGCGATGCCTCGGATGATTTTCCATCGTCTGACATAGACCACGCGTCGTGCTCGCTCCCGACGTGGCCTCGCGACAGCGACGACGACAAGGTCTTAGAGCCACCACCCGACGCCGACGACTTGAACGAGCCCGAGTACGCCAGCCCCAAGTCACCAAGGGCAATCGAGCCCGACAGGTCCGATCGCACCGACCGTGCCCGAGACCGCATCAGCGCCATCCGCGCTGCTTCGCCGGCAATCGCCGACGCGTATCCACTCAACTCGCGAATGAGCATGTCGTAGAGCGTAGCGAGGACAAGTGGCTTGGCAATAAACCCGTCCATCCCCGCCATGAGGCACTTTTCCACCTCGTCCGCGTACACGGCCGCAGACATGGCCACAATTCGGGTGTGCCGCCCGTCTGCCGCCGCGGTCTCGGCCGCACGCACCTGCTGCGCCACCTCGTAACCTGAGAGCGCAGGCATGAAGCAGTCGAGCAGGACAAGTGAGTACGCGTTCTTGCTGATCCGCTTGACAGCCTCCAGAGGGTCGTCCACAAGTTCTGGCTCAAGCCGCAGTCGCGCGAGCATCAGCTTGGCTACCTCGAGGTTGGTCGCGTTGTCGTCGACCACAAGGACCCGAAAGACAGACGACGGCAAAATTGGAAGCTCGTCGATCTTGCTCAGGTCCACCTTACGCGTCGTCTGCGACAGCATGTCGGTCGAGAGCGAGAACGAGACAAGCGTCTCGTGCGAGGATCCGGCCTGCGCCAGCATCGCCATTGCGTTGCTGAGCATGTGCGGGAGGACTGGCCGCGGAAGCATGCCGTCAAACACCTCCGTCAGTTCGCCATGCATCTCGCACGGCCGCACAACCGCCACAAACAAGGTGTTGGTCGGTGGCGGCTGTGGCATCTGCTGCATCTTGGCCGCAAGCGCCCCGCCGTGAAAGCCCTTGAGCTCCGACGAGACCAAAATGATGTCAAACGCCTCAGCAAGCCCGCCGGCAACCTGTGCCATATTCTTGGCAACCGCAAGCATCGCCCCTGTCCCACTCGTCAACGCGGTCACCTCCATGCCCATGGCCCGCAGCATGTCACTCAGCGCATCCAGCTCCTCCTCGTCGTCGTCAACAACAAGAACACTGCTCGCACCGATCGGCGCTCGTCCCAGCAGCATCCGCGCGTTGATAAACGGTACACTCTGCTCGATGTTCTCCACCACGCACCCTTCCGGAATCGTCGGCAGCGACACCGACGCCGAAAACGAGGCAGTCATAGACTGGGAGACTGTGTCCGAAGCCGCAGACAGCCCAGTGTCTGTCCCGGTGGCCGAGGTCGAGTCAGAGACAGAGCCAAGCTCGGAGAGCAGCTCCGGCGTTGACAAGGCCACAGGTGCCACTGATGTTGACGAGATCGAGTAGATCTTGAGCGGTCGAACACCGAGTTGGTCTCTGCTGACCTTGCTGCACTCATCGCCTTCGCCGGCCTCCTCACCGCCAGCTCTCGCTCGCCAGCTCTCCCCGCTCTCAGCCAATCCCCGCAGCGGCGAGAGTGAGCCCGTGCTCGAGCTCGACCGCACACCAAGGAGCTCGAGTCCGACGGCAACCGTAAAGCAGGTGCCCTCGCCGAGCGTCGAGGCCACAAAGATCTCGCCGCCCATGGCGTCGACAAGCTTCTTGGAAATCGCGAGACCGAGCCCGGTGCCTGTGTGCATGCGGCCGGTCTCCGAGCCGAGGCTCTGCTGCTGGTACGGTTCAAAGAGGGTTGGCAGCCGGTCGGGTGAAATACCCGACCCGGTGTCGGCCACGGTGAGCGCGAGGACCTGGCGCCACAAATCGCCTTTCTCGCCGCTGCGCTCGGTCTCGCGGACCGTCGTCCGTAGCGTTACCCGCCCAGTCGTCGTATACTTGACCGCGTTGTCGACGAGGTTGGTAAGGACCTGCTGCAGCCGTGCTGCGTCGCCGCGGAACGTCGTGCCGGTCTTCAAGTCGACAATGACGTTGAACCGGACGCCTTTGTCATGCGCGGACGGCTCAAACTTGGCCGCAACACCCTGGAGCATGTCGAGCATGTCAAACGGAATGTGCTCGATGTTGATGCTCTCAGCCTCCATCTTGGAAAAGTCAAGCACGTCCGAGATGATGGCATGCAGCTCCGAGGCAGACGACTTGATAGTAGTGTTGAACTGCCGCTGTTCATCGTTGAGCGGGGTGAGCTGAAGAAGCTCGGACATGCCGATGACTCCGTTGAGCGGTGTCCGAATCTCATGTGACATCTTGGCGAGGAACGAGGCCTGCGACTTGGCAAACGACACCGCAATCCGCTCCATCTCGATCCGCCGGATGACAGTTGCCCGCAGCATGGCGTTCCTTGATCGCAGCTCGGCGGTCCGCTTCGCCACACGCTTCTCCAGCCGTGCCTTGAGCTTGTGCAGCTTGCGCTCGGCGAGCTTGCGCGAGCACACCTGCTGCTCGGCCACTAGCAGGTTCGCCGCCGTGATAAGCATTGGCTCCAGAAACGCTGCCAGCGCCGACGAGTAGCCCAGCGGCCGGTTGGCCACTCCGATCATGCCCACCACTTCGTCTCCGTGCATCAGGGGCACGCCCATGTACGTCGCAATAGCAGGGTGGCCCTCGGGCAACCCAGACTTGGCACGCCTCTCATCGGTCTCGGGCGAGTTGGCCACAACCGGCGCCCGGCTCGTCACCGGCGCCCAATGAGTGACTCCATGTCCTCAAAGAGAAACCCACCGCGCTTGCGCAGCTGCTCGTCGTGAAACGCCGACATAGACTCCGACCACGCAATGTTCGTCACCGCGCGCGTAAAGAGCACTTGCTTGCCCTCGTGCAAGATAACCTCGGCAATGAGGCCAAACTCCGAGTCGGTCACATCGAGCACGGCGTTGAGCAGCTCGCCAAAGACCACTGCCGGTGAGGCTTCGACTAGAAACTGGGTCTGACCCCTCAGGATCGCACGCGTTACCATCGGTCGCTTGCGTTCAAGATACCCTTCAGGGTCGTTGAACATCTGCGCCATGTCCTCGGCCGCCAGATTGTGCTCGCGGACCTTGAGCTGCGGCCACCAGTCGTCGTCATCGCCGCTGTTGCTCCGCGTCATCTGCGGCGACGTCGAAGCCGAGCACGTCTCTACCAGCGCCATCAGTGACGCGGGAATGACCGCTTCGCCCCGCGACCGCAGGTTCATCCGTGCCAGCTCGCACCGGATCTCGAACTGTGCCTCCTCGTCCGACATCGAGTCCCCACTGTCTGACGACACGCTTGTCGTGTGCTCGCCGTCCGACAGCAGGTCCAGCCCCAGTTCGCCCAGATCACACACATGCGGCGTCGGCATCTGATCCGAAGTACTGGAGCTCTTTGCAGAGTCGAGAAACTGCGGTGAGACGATGGGTGTCTGTGCGAGCAGCCTTCCGCGCGCGTCGAGCACGCCGGCCTCTTGCAGCTGCATGCGGTCGTTCGGCTCGAGATCACGGGTCAGCTCGCGCCCAATTAGCGACGTCGAGCTTGCGTAGAATATATCGCGCTCCTGCGAAGACATACGCAGCGATTCGCCGGCCAACAGCATCCGCAGCGCCTGTTCTTCCTCGTCGGCCTTGCTCTTGGACTTGGCAGACAAAATCTTCGTCGGCTCCTCCACCTTGTTGCTGCCCAAAGTCTTGGGACTCTCTCTGTCTACCAAGACCCTCAGATTCAGCGACAAGTCGCCACTTGAGACCATCGATGCCCTGCTCGCTTCCAACGACGCCCCGCTCGAGTGAAAGCCTGGGAAGCTCAAGCTTCCACCCGCCACCTCGACCTCGCTCTCAAACCCCGAGGCCGCAGCAAGAGCCACAGCCTCGGCAGAATCCGCAGCAAGAGCCTCGGTCTCGGCAGAATCCGCAGCAAGAGCCTCGGCCTCGGCAGAATCCGCAGCAAGAGCCTCTGCCTCGGCAGAATCCGCAGCAAGAGCCACAGCCTCGGCAGAATCAGCAGCAAGAGCCTCTGCCTCGGCAGAATCCGCAGCAAGAGCCACAGCCTCGGCAGAATCCGCAGCAAGAGCCACAGCCTCGGCAGAATCCGCAGCAAGAGCCACAGCCTCGGCAGAATCCGCAGCAAGAGCCTCGGCCTCGGCAGAATCCGCAGCAAGAGCCACAGCCTCGGCAGAATCCGCAGCTTCACCACGAGTCGCATCCCCTACCCCTTTCGCCCGCGCCGCGTCGTTGTTCTCCTCGCCGGCCAAAAGCCCATCCTCATCCTCATCCTCACCAGCCGCCCCATGCCCTCCACCTGGACACTCACTGCTTGCGGCGTCCATGTTCGGGGCCACAGCTGGTCCCTCCTCGTCCTGCCTGCTGTCTACCAACGTGGTGTGGTCGTCATGCTGCCAAGTCGCTCCCGCCGTCGACTGGCTGCCACCGCTCCCGCTCCGGCCTCCGCCAACCTCACCACCCGCTGATGCGTGCGACATATCCAGCACGTTGCAAACTCCCACCACTCGGAACCCTATGTGGATGTAGCTGGCTGGCTGTCGGTCTGTGGCTGTCGGCCCGGACTTTGGCCTGGCTGGCGAGTCGTGTTGGCCGCAAAGCTTTGCTCGGCTCCTTGCTCTGACCCGCTTTCACGGCTACCCGCACTCGTTTCCGGCAGGCGCGGTAAAAAAGTCCAAGCGCAAAGCCCGTGGTAGTACCGAGAGTGCTCGTCCCCAAAAATTGAACTTCCGCTGGCAGCAGCCAAAAAAAGCCGTGTGAGTGACCAAACGTTTGCTCCGATGGCACTACCCACGCTGTTGACAAGACAGGAGAGCCAACCGGGACACCGCAGAAGAGACGTTGGCGTACCACTTGACTAGCCACCATGACCTCGATTCCATGCTGCACCAGAGCGCCTGCTATCCTCGCTCTGCTGGCTGTCATGGTGGCGGTGACTGGTCAGACAGTCGTGGCTGCTGACCTCGCTTCTGAAGCTGCAGAGCTGGACGCGCTCTTTGACGCTCTCTCGGGATCGATGTGGACGAACAACGGCGGGTGGGAGGCGAGGGCCGGGTCGGCGGGTACGCCGGACGCCGTCTGCTCGTACTACGGCATCACATGCTCCAACACCTCGACCTCGGACGGGCTCACCCACGTCATCGCCATCACCCTCTCGGGCAACGCCATGGCTGGCACGCTCCCGCCCATTGCGTGGGACTTTCCTGAGCTCGTCACCCTCGACCTGACCGGCAACGTTCTTTCGGGCACGCTGCCGGCGGCGTGGGGCAAGATGTCCAAGCTCGAGCTGCTGCTGCTGGGTGGCAAGGCGGTGCCGTCCGAGTTCCTGCTCTCGTTCCTCTCGCCGGCCGTGCTCTACTTTTACACCCTTGGCTCGCTCGTTGGCTCCGAGCTCGAGGGCACGCTCCCACCCGAGTGGGGCGCGCTGAGCAATCTTCGTATCCTTGCGCTCAACACGGGAGCACGGACAACGGGCGGTTTTGCAGGCAGTGACATTCCACCCGAGTGGGCAGGCATGACCTCGCTCCGCTATCTCACCTTTGACTCGTCGGGCCTGGGCAACGGCGGCCCACTGCCGGCGCACACTCTCGCTGCCATGTCCTCGCTCGAGTACTTTGGCTGCAGCTACTGCGACTACTCGTCGATCCCCGAAGCCATCACCTCCGCGCCCAAGCTCCACTCGCTCTACCTGAACTACATGCCTATCAACGGACCACTGCCGGCTTTCATTCCGCGCTGGTCCGCGCTCCGCGCTCTTATCGTTGGCGCCGTGGGGCTGACTGGCCCGCTGCCCACCGACTGGTCCGCCCTCACCAACGTCCGCATCATCGTTCTCGCCGAGAACGCCAACCTCGTCGGAACTCTTGCCCCGTTTGCACCGCTTCCCGCGCTCGAGGTCCTCATGACGTACAAGAGCGGCATCACCGGCACGCTTCCGATCTTCACTTCGCCTGACGTGTACTTTCTTGTCATTTCGGGCCAGAGCCTCTCCGGATCGATTCCGCCGCAGTGGGGCGAGATGACCAAGATGCAGCAGCTGTGGATGGGCGAGAACGCCATCGAGGGCACGCTTCCGGCCTCGCTCGCCAACTGGACCTCGCTCAAGCTCATCGACGTCCGCAACAACCGTCTCACCGGCACCGTTCCAGTCGCCTTTGGCACCGCCTGGTCGCAGGTCGGCCGTTTTGAGCTTGCCCACAACAGCTTTACCGGCACGCTGCCGCCCGGCTTTGCATCCGTCACTCATGTCGACATTTCCGGCAACGCCTTTCCGGCCCGCTCGACGTCATGTGTGACTCGCCGCTCATCGACTCGGTCACTGCCGCAGACAACCTCTTTGACTCGGTGCCTGAGAATTGCAACATCTCGGCCATCACTATCGACTTGTCAGGCAATAACCTGCAAGGCATGCTCCCGGCAGGCATCGGCAACATCAAGGGGCTGCAGCACCTCTCGCTAGCAGGCAACAAGCTGACCTCGTCGTTTGTGCCGTTGTCGTGGGCCAAGCTCTCGCCCTCGCTCGTCAACATCGATCTCTCGCGCAACCAGATCAGCGGCGACGTGACCAACATGCTTGCCACCTTTCGTGACTTTGCCCGCCTGCAGCGGGTCGACATCTCGCACAACCAGCTTGTCGGCACCATGCGCGGCAACCTATTTGTCGAGGTCTTCCCTGCGCCGCGCAACTTTTTCCAGACCCTCGTCCTCATGTACGTCAACAACAATCAGATCACTGGCAATGTCCCTCCCTGGTTTGACACCGTGCCCACCATTCTCGAGTTTGACGGCTCGGCCAACAACTTTACCGGCTCGGTCGACACTCTCACCGAATCAGTCCAGTCTGCCAAGTTTGCCGACAACCCGGAGCTTGGCGAGCAGGACCGCATCTCGCTTCCAAGCTCCATTGTTCCGATCGAGCCTTTTGTTCAGCTCTCGGCCGACCAGCCATTCTCGTGTCCCTCGTTCATCGATGTCCGTCGCTCGCGCTCCAGCGTTGTCCTCGACCCGCGGTACTACGGGTACCAGCTGTGCAAGTGCGATCCAGGCTACTTTGGCGAGGCCGGCCAGTGCCGCTCTTGCGCTCCATTTGGCGATGCCGTTCGCTGCGAGGGTGGCCGCATTGATCTCGCCGACTTGAGCGATGGCTCCAACACGCTCGGCATCGACCTCTCGTCCTCTGCCACCGCAGCTGCAGCTTCGCATCCGGCCGGCTTTGTTTCGGCCGCCGAGGCCGATGTCGTCCCCAGTGGTCCCAATTGGGGCGGGGCCGTCCCGCACCGCGCCAACCTCACCATCCAGCCCAACTACTATGTCGCCGGCTACAAGGACGACGGAACGCCGCTCATCGACGAGTGCTACCTCATCGGCATCGACGAGTCGAGCTGCAATCCCGAGGCCAAGGATCCGTTCGAGTGTCGCAACGGCTACCGCGACCGCCTCTGCTCGCGGTGTGAGAAGGACTACTACCTGCAGGGCCGCCGGTGCGAGGCGTGTCCAACGGCGACGCCCATCGTCCTTGCCGCCCTCTACGGCGCGGTCTTCCTTGTGTGGTACGGCATGAATCAGACTAACAAGAAGTCCGTCTTCTACGCGCCGCTCATCAAGTCGCTGTTTGTCTTTCTGCAAACCTCGGCCATCCTTTTCTCAGGCTCGTCAGCCTTTGTGTGGCCGTCGTCGGTGACGACGGCCTTTGACTCGGTCTTTTCGTGGACCTCGTTCTCGTTCCCTATGCTGGCGTGCCTCTCCAACTCGAACTCCAAGTGGGAGCTCTCGTTCTTTGTCTCGCTCTTTGCGGTGCCTGCGCTGTTTTTCATCCCGGCCATTGGCTACGCCATCTTTGCCGGCCTCTCGGCGGTGGTCGACGGCGGCCTGTTTGGCCGGAGCGAGCGCGACTGGCGGTTCGGCGCCATCCGGACCGGCCTGGCGGTGCTCAACCTCGGCTACATGCCGATCACGGTGAACATGCTGGTGGCGCTGCCGTGCCGGACGTCGTCGGACGGTAACTACTACCTCTGGGCTGCGCCGTGGATCGAGTGCTCACGGTCAAACTCGGACTGGCTGGTCATTGTGGTGACCGGAACGATCATGACCATCTTGTATGGGCTCGGCATTCCGTTTGCCTTCTCGCTTCTCCTCCGCTGGCGGCGGCGGTATCTGCGGTCGCTGCCGCCGGGCATGGGCGAGGCCGATGGGCACTGGTTCCAGTTCTTCTACGCGCCGTACCTCGAGCGGTCGTTCTGGTTCGAGCTGGTCATTATGGCGCGGCGGCTGCTGGTGGCCATCATTGCGGTGATGCCTGCGACCAACCCGCTGGTACCGTTTGCCTTCTTTACGGTCCTCATGGGCGCGCTTGTGGTCCAGTTCACGGTCAAGCCGTTTGTCCACAACATCATCAACTGGCTGGAGATCCTGACGCTTGTGCAGCTCATGCTCACCTTTTCTGTGGGCCAGGTCTTCTCGTCGGACGTGTACACTACGGATCTGAGCTTTACGGCAACGATTCTGGAAGTGCTCGTCATCCTCACCAACGTCTTTGTCGTTGCTGCGTTCTTGGTGGTGCTCCTGTGGCGGCTTGTGATGACGCGGCGGCGTGGTCCCAAGACGTTTGCAGTTTCGATGTCGTCGTCGGATGAGACAGGCGCTCACGTGAGCGTGGCGTCGTCGAGGAGCGGGCGGTTCAAGATGCACGACGTGCCGCAGGCTCAGCCGCTCATGACGGCACCGCTGGTGGGCGGCTCGGGCGTCGAGCTCCCGCTCATCTCGCGGGCAACCGACCGGCCGACGACGACAGTGGCCGTGGGGCGGCGGCCGCCGTCTGCGCGCGACACGCCGTCGGTGTGGTCGTCGAACCCGACCGTGGTAACAACGATCGGTCAGGGCAACGACATGAACCGGCCAGAGACGGCAGGCAGCTCATCCTCTGACTGGTCAACCTTTGACGGCGTCAGCTCGATGCTAGACTCGGACAAGTCGAGTGCCGAGGACCATGCAGCGACCTCGCCTGCACTCCCGGGCTCGGCGCGCCGCATGGCCACCAAGTTTGAGGACTCGGTGGGCACCGTGCCGCGGCTGACCAGTTCTGTGTCGACGGCGCCTGCCAGGGCGCAGCAGCCGACGCCGCTGCTGCCGATGTTCTGAACATTACACAGTTAGCGCAGCTTGCGGTCACAGCTCGAGGTGGAGAGGCATGCGAGGAGGCAAAGAAACAGGCACAGCATTTACTCGGCCTTGATGGGCTTGGCAGGGCCAACGGCGGAGAGCTTGCCCTCCTCCTTGTCGCGACCCCAGCCGAGGATGAGCTTCTCACGGATGACAAAGAGCATCCAGGTGATCTCGGCGATGGAGACAAAGCACCAGATGGAGGCCTGCTCCTGGAGGTTGTCGGTGACCCACGAGGCCATGTAGGGGCCGGTGAGGAAGAGGAAGGCACCCTGGATGATCATGCCGCGGAAGATGACCTTGAACCAGGTGGAGCGGTCCCACTTCATGACAAAGAACGGGCCAAACATAAGGAACGAGTGGATGGCGGCGCCGGGCGTCCAGTAGGTGGGATCAGACATAGGGACGGACCAGGCAAGGTGGTACTTGCCCGAGTAGGTGCAGAGCTTCTCGCCGCGGAGCCACTCCGAAGTGACGCAGGCGTTGGCCGGCGGGGTGAGGCCGGCCCACTCGCCAAAGGCCGAGGTGACGGGCTGGGCCACCGACGCCGGGTTCCACTCTGCCATAAAGTAGCGGGCAAAGAGCATGCCGCCGCCGAGCAGGCAGAGGCGCTTGATGATGTCGTACTGGTAGAGGTACTTGGGCGCAGTGGTGAGCGAGGCGTTGATGACGTGGGTAAAGTACGGCTGGAGGCAGATGTGCAGGAAGCCAGCGAGGGTGAGCCACCGGTTGATGTCCGACTCGCAGTCGTCAATGTAGAAGTACTGCACAAACTGGAGGGCCTCCATGGTGAAGAAGAAGAAGATGCCCGACGCCAGCGCCGTGTTGGACGTGCGGTAGTAGACCCACGCCGACGACGCAAGGCCCATCAGCGCAAAGGCCCCGGACATGGGCTGGTTGAAGCACACTGTTGCATGCCACGAGGAGGGTGGGGGGGGAGGGGAGGGGAGGGGTGAGTGTGGATGGTTGCGGATGCACAGTCTGGTACGCCGGAAGGGAAGGGGTAAGGGGACGGGGTGGAGAGGGGGGGTGGACGGCAG